GGACATTATTATATGGCACTACGGTGCAATTCTACGCGGCACTTCGGTGCATTTATACGAGCTGTGGTGACAGCATAGTGCACAACCTCACATTACTCAGATACCTTAGGTTCTCAATATGATATCATGGGCCAATAAACTTATTAATACGAATTCATGAATGTTAAAGTAATATGCTTACAGGTATGGATATTGATGATGTAGACTACATTGATTAAGTACATGCTTCCATCTCATTTCATACGATTATGACATTTTCATTACATTGCCTTGTTATTATTATTACATTGCCTCACTAAGTCGATGACTTAGCGTGTGAGTGTTTCACACGTAGGATCCGAGAAAGTAGACGAGACAGGTGAAGCAGCTTGACAGCATTACTCCTGCAACCACCAGATCAGAAGCAACTTAATCAGTATGTCATTTTGTTATGTAAATGGCAGTTGGCATGTAATTAAAGGGTTAAGTTGTGTATGCTCTGAATATTTTGGTAAACTTATGTTACAATATGTATATTATCATATTTTCTTAATATAAGTTCAAATATTTTGTTATTATTGGTTAAGAGTTGTGTTTTAAAAGTCAATGTAATATCTCTGACTCATATCCGGGTCGGGTACGGGTTGGGGGTGTTACATAAGCCCTCAGAGTTATCCGACAGACGTTATCCCGCAATGTTGCTTTCAACATAGCAAAGGAAAAAACTACAGCGGGTCTTATGGCGGCTCTCTCCAATATGTATGAGAAGCCAGCAGCTTCAAACAAAGTGCACTTGATGAGGCGATTATTCAATTTGCGGATGCGGAAGGGGCATCGATGGCACAACACCTAAATAAACTCAACACAATCACAACCCAGTTGAGTTCAGTGGAAATTGAATTCGATGATGAAGTTCGAACTTTAATTCTCTTATCATCTCTACCAGACAGTTGGAATGCTACTGTTACAGCAGTTAGCAGCTCGTCGGGAAATAGTAAATAGAAATTCGACGATGTTCGGGATCTGGTACTGAGCGAAGAAATTTGACGGAGAGAATCGGGTGAAGCATCAACCTCCTCAGCCTTGCACACGAAGTCCAGAGGGAGAACTTCAGAAAGAAATTCAAATCATTGCAGATCGAAATCCAGACGGGGAAAATCCAGAACGGGAAAGAAAGATTTTACCTGTTATAATTGTGGCAAGAAGGGTCACTTTAAAAGAGATTGCCGAGCACTGAAGAAAAACATCGGCACACAGGAACCTGCCAACGTGACAGAGGAGACAGGTGATGCCATGATTCTAAGCGTCAACAGTCCGATTGAATCATGGATCTTGGATTCAGGGGCATCTTTCCACTTCACCCCATGCCGAGAAATCATGGAAAATTATGTCAGTTGTGATTTTGGGAAGGTTCATCTAGCTGATGACGAAACCTTGAAGATCGTCGGAAAAGGAGACATCCGACTAAAGTTGCCAAACCAGACCACCTGGACGCTGAAAGGAGTGAGACATATTCCTAGCCTTAAAATAAATCTGATTTCTGTTGGACATCTTGATGGAGAAGGATATAGCATAACCTTTTCAGGCTGTGAATGGAAGATTACCAAATGAGCACTCGTCATTGCTCGTAGTAAGAAAACTGGTACTCTCTATGTAACCTCAAATTTAGAGAATGTCATTGCAGCCGCAGATGTTGATGGAAAATCAAACCTATGGCACCAAAGGCTTGATCACATGAACGAGAAAAGGATGAAGACACTTTTGTCAAAAGGGAAGCTGCCGGATCTAAAGAATCTAGATGTCGGACTATGCGAGGATTGCATCTTTGGCAAACAAAATAAAGTCAGCTTTGCAAAGATTGGTAAGACACTCAAGGCTGAAAAGTTAGAGTTGGTTCATACTGATATATGGGGACCATCTCCAGTTCCATCTCTTGCAGGCTCACTATATTATGTCATCTTCATAGATGATTCTACAAGGAAGGCGTGGGTTTATTTTCTGAAGAAGAAATCTGAAGTCTTTGATACCTTCAGAAAATGGAAGGCAATAGTGGAAAATGAGACTGGTCTGAAAGTCAAGCGGTTGAGGTCTGATAATGGAGGAGAATACAAAAATAGTAGATTTAGAGATTTCTGCGCAAACAATGGGATCAAGATGGAGACAACAGTTCCCATGACATCGCAACAGAATGGCGTAGCAGAGCGCATGAACAGAACTCTGAATAAACGTGCCAGAAGCATGAGGATACATGTCGGATTGCACAAACTTCTATGGGCTGAAGCTATCAACACTGCAGCTTACTTGATCAACCGTGGGCCCTCGGTTCCTTTGGATGGCAGAATACCAGAGGAAGTTTGGAGAAGGAAAGAAATAAACCTTTCACACTTAAGAGTGTTTGGTTGTATTTCCTATATACATATAAACTCTGCTGAAAGAAGTAAACTTGATGCCAAGTCCAACAAATGTGTCTTTGTTGGTTATGGTGGTGATGAGTTCGGTTACCGATTTTGGGACTACGAAAATCGAAATATTATCAGAAGCAGAGATGTTATTTTCAATGAGAATGTGATGTACAAAGACATATCAACCATAGAATCAAGTATCTCAAACATCGAAGCTGAAACAAAGGAATTTACTGAGTTCGAGGAGATTTCTGGAAATGATGTTCAGATCAGTCCTGAAGCAGTTCAAGAAGAACCAGACACACCGGAACTAAGGCGCTTCTCCAGAATTCCTAAACCAACCCAACAGTATTCTTCTTCTTTGCACTAGTTGTTGCTGACTGACAATGGTGAACCAGAGTGCTATGATGAAGCAATGCAAGTGGAGGATTCAGTCAAGTGGGAGTCTTCCATGAAAGATGAGATGAACTCGCTTATGTCAAATCAGACGTGGGAATTAGCTGAATTACCACCAGGCAAGAAAGCGCTCCACAACAAGTGGATTTACAGGATCAAAGAAGAGCATGATGGGAGCAAATGCTACAAAGCAAGATTGGTTGTCAAAGATTTTCAACAAAAAGAAGGTATTGACTACAATGAAATTTTCTCTCCAGTCGTAAAATTGTCCACAATCAGACAAGTGTTGAAAATTGTAGCTGCAGAGAATTTACATCTTGAGCAGTTAGATGTAAAGACATCTTTCCTTCATGGTGATTTGGAAGAAGAAATCTATATGAGGCAGCCAGAAGGCTTCATAGAGGCAGGCAAGAAAAACCTGATATGCAGGTTGAAGAAGAGCTTGTATGGTTTAAAACAAGCTCCTAGACAATGGTACAAGAAGTTCGATAGCTTCATGAGTAGCAGTGGTTTTACCAGATGCCAAGCAGATCATTGTTGCTACATCAAGAGGTTCGATAATAGCTTCATTATTTTATTGTTGTACGTTGATGACATGCTCGTTACAGGCTCAGACATGCAAGAGATTATAAACTTGAAGCAAAAAATGTCGAAGCAGTTTGCTATGAAGGATCTGGGCGCTGTAAAGCAGATTCTTGGGATGAGGATTAAGAGAGACACAAAGTCGGGGACTTTGATGTTATCACAGGCTGAGTACATCAACAAAGTACTCTCCAGGTTCAACATGCAAAATGCTAAACCAGTAAGTACACCTTTAGGTGTCCATTTTAGACTCTCCAAAGAACAATCACCAAAAGACGGAGGAAGAACGTGCACACATGGTGAAGGTGCCGTATGCCTCAGCAATTGGAAGTCTAATGTATGCCATGGTTTGTACCAGACCAGATATTACTCAAGCAGTGGGAGCTGTTAGCAGGTACATGAATAATCCAGGCAAGGTACACTGGGAAGCAGTCAAATGGATCCTCAGATATTTGCGCGGTACTACAAACAAAGCACTTTGTTTCAAAGGTGGAGATACGATACTGACAGGCTATGTAGATGCTGACTTAGCCGAAAATGTTAACATCAGAAGGAACACTACAGGGTATGTCTATACTCTAGGAGGAACCGTAGTGAGTTGGGTTTCTCAACTACAGAAGATAGTTGCTCTCTCCACAACTGAAGCAGAATATGTCGCTGTTATGGAAGCCAACAAGGAGATGGTTTGGCTCTAAAGTTTCTTGGAATAGTTAGGCAAGAAACAAGAAAATAATGTCTTGTATTGCGACAGTCAAAGTGCTATACATCTAGCAAAAAATCCATCTTTTCATTCCAGGACAAAGCACATACAATTGCGATATCATTTTATCCGGTCTCTTATGGAAGATGGGATTTTGAAACTTGAAAAGATCAGTGGAGCTCAAAATCTGACAGACATGTTGACAAAGACGGTGACTACAGACAAACTGAAGTTGTGTTCAACTTCAGTTGGCATGGTAGAGTAACAAGACTAGAAAAGCTGTTGCATTGATTGAAGTGTGAAGACAAATTAAAATCAGTCTTCAACTGTGAGATTGTTGAAAGTATTGTTAAAATGATTTTCAAGTTTGACAACCAACTTTGAAAAAATGATTTTCAAAGTTTGGTAAATGTTTCTTTGAAAATGGTTTTCAAAGTTTGGTAAATGTTTCTTTGAAAAATAATTTTTCAAAGTTTGGTAGATGTTTATTGAAAAATGATAATGAGATAATCACAATTAATCCCTAGGCTTTAGGATATTTACAAGATTAAGTCATTAATTTCAACTATAAATACCCTAACTCATTTAGCTTCAAAACCATTCCAAAAATCGTTTCTTTCTCCCAATACGAGAGAGCTTTCTTGTGAGTAGTTAGTGTTTTGTAAACACCTGTAAATTTTCTCTCTTAATAAAAGATCTGCAGCAGTCCAGAGACGTAAGCACAATTGACTGAACTCCGTTATCAATTTCAGATATTATTTTTCAGCTTTTATTTCGCATTAACATTAATTTGATTATAGAAAAATTACTTGTACTGGATTTATTTGTAACATACTAATCTCTCATTATACTTCGACGCTAGAATCTGAGTTCTCGATAGTCGATCCGGATTCGGAAGTTCTTTTGTTCCATCACGATTGCTCTCCTCCGGCACCTCCTCCGCCTCCTCCTCACGCTCCGTCAGTATCTTGCACTGATGACCTTGGAGGGATAGGTTCTCTGGATTCCACGTGCAAGATTGTGGCCGATTTGAACCTAACTCGTGACGTCTACATAACGGGAAAGGGTATTTCTACATCCTCCCCGGAGTTCGATTCCATTGCCCCTTTTTGGGCTGTTCCGTAACCCTAAACATCAGTGGAAACTTTTCCTTGGGCGAAGGTTCGACTATAGTTACCGGTACTTTTTTGCTTGATGCCTATAACGCTAGTTTGTTCAATGGATCGGCCGTGAACACTACAGAATGGGCGGGGGACCCACCTCTACAGACGAGTGGGACACCTCAGGGATTGGAGGGAGCGGGCGGAGGTCAGGGGGCCGCGGGGCCTCTTGCTTCGTGGAGGATGGGAAGGTACCGGAGGATGTCTGGGGCGGAGACGCATATTCATGGTCATCGTTGCGGACGCCGTGGAGTTACGGGAGTAAGGGAGGGACAACGAGTAAGGAGGTGGATTACGGAGGGGGAGGTGGTGGCCGGGTGAAAATTATACTTAAAGATTTGTTGGAGATGAATGGGAGCTTATTGGTGGATGGTGGTGATGGAGGGAGTAAAGGAGGTGGTGGATCAGGTGGTAGCATCTACATTAAAGCTCATAAAATGTAATGGTTCTCTCCTGTTAACTTTGTTTCTTAAAGTTCTTTTAGTGCTGCCTTGCTTTGTTTAGATTCCAAAGTTGGATGGTTATTTCGTTTTGTTGTTTGATAATCCAAAAACTGAATGTAGGAAATAAAGAGAAGAACTAATTATGAGTAGTTATAATTGCATTCTTAAGCTATTGTTTATGTGACCCTGATAAGGAAGATATTTAGGACTATTTTGATTCCAACAAGTTAACCGCTTGTTGAAAGCATTGAATATTGTTCGTGTTATGCTAGTTGTTCAATTAAGCTGGCAAGGTCATCAATTGTTGCTAACTTGTGATTATAAATTGGACTCGTGGGCTGAAGCCTCTTAAAGCTCTGCTACTTTTCCTATGATGCATGCCAACTGTAGTGCAGGACATTAATGAAACACTCCCTCAAATCCAATCTTCTTTGTTTTTGACCAAAGTTTTACTTCATCTGAGGTACTACGTGCTATTCATTGCAAACATCTAATGGCTGAGGATATAAATGCTTTTGGGTTTGTAAAATGCATCTTCAATTAAGTTAATCTGGAGAGCAGCTTGAAGCTTTCTCCATTAACACAGCACATTGTTTTAAATCCATTTGCTAGGTGCAGAATGAGATTTAGGCCTAATTATCATTTGTGCTCTATTTAGGCTATGTCTAATGTTTCTTTATCATAATTTTGTTAAAGGAAACTTATACCAGGTGATGATATCCAATGAATCCTATCTTATGTATGCTTAGCCGTGTCATTCATGTTCTTATGCTTTATGTGTCTGCTATTCTGGAAACCAATGGAAACAATTTTCTGGTTTCCATTATTAACTTGGCTCTCTTATAATAACTATGGGTTAAATGTCACTATATTACCTGGGTACAATTAAAGTCTTAATGTTACAGTATCTTGTTTTTATGTGAAGAGCAGGACTGGAAGTGGCCGGATAAGTGCTTGTGGAGGTAATGGTTTTGGGGGCGGGGGTGGTGGAAGAGTTTCTGTTGATATTTTCGGCAGACATGATGAAGCACAAATTTATGTGCTTGGTAAGATTTCTCCTTTTTTGACATCATAGGAAGGAGTTCAGTATTTTAAGATTGGGAAATTGAAGCTTTCCATTACAATGTTTTTTATGGATACTTGATTGCTTTCATGTTACAAAAAGGAGGGACAGTTTTCCCGACCAACAATACGAATACCTTTTGATGATGACATAAATGAACGACTGTCATGATGAGTGAACTATTGTTGGATGATAAACTTGGAAAATGCATATCTTTCTAAGCTTTATGATGTCATCTTTCATTATTGTGTAATTTTTTTTCTAATTCCCCTTAGAACATTTATGTGACTGCTTGGTGATCTATTGATTATCATCTTGCAGGAGGAATTAGTCATGGTTGCCCAGAGAATGCTGGAGCTGCTGGAACCCTTTATGATGCTCTGCCCTGAAGTCTTACTGTTAACAACCATAATTTGACATCATTTACAGAAACACTTTTTCTAGAGTTTCCTTATTGACCACTTTGGACTAACGTCTATATCCGAAATTTGGCAAGGGCTACTGTTCCATTGTTTTGGAGTCGCATCCAGGTTTAATAATTTGAAGTCTTTATTTTTGTACTTAGATATTAAAACATGTCAATAACTCTTAGCACTTTATATCTTATTTTTTAGCCAAACGAGCTAGTTGTAAGTTGAGTATACTTACTTTTAGTATTTGAGTGTATTTAGAACATATACTACTTTGTAATCACCTTAGTTTAATCAAAAAAAAAAATCTCTCTTTAAGGTATCGTTACCCTTCTATGAGTTGTTACCCTCTTCTAGTACCTCTTTCTGCATTTTTTGTTTTATAAAATTTCAGGAGATACAGTTAGTTTTTTCATGAGGAATTTAATTCAGCATATGTTTCTTATATAGGTTCAAGGACAGATAAGTCTACTATCTGGGGGTGTGTTGAGCTTTGGGCTAGCACATGTTGGGTCTTCAGAGTTTGAACTAGTGGCAGAAGAACTGTTGATGAGTGATTCTGTAATCAAGGTGACTGATACTTTTCTTATAAACTTGATTAAGGAAGTCTTATTGGCGTTCTTGTCTCAGTATGTGAGACAATATTGTCCATATTTTCTATCAATTGTCTTCTAAACTCTTATTGTTGTCATATTGCTAAGTCTTTTACTAGTTTGCAAAACAGAATACCCTATTTGAAGAGGCTGATTTTATTTTAATTGGATTTTTATCTGTATGTGGTATCATTGTAACCATGTATTTCCACTCACATTTTCATGTTGTTAACATGTCTTTGTAGTTCAGAATAGAAGCAGTTCGATGATTTCTAAAGAAAGTATTATATAATCTGTCTTGGCCACTTTCTATTTAGTTTTACTTCAGTTAACTTCAGTTAGGCTTGGAGGCTCGGGTGGAGGTATAGGAGGTATATTGAGAGATTGGGAGTGTCGCACACTTTTGACTTTTTCAGAGAAAGTTGACCAAGGTACTCCTCCTCTAGCTGAATGAAAGGCTATTAAAATTTTTCTGGCTTCAGTTTGGGTTTCTGTTGGGAGATTGATTGTTGAGAGTGATTGCAAGTCGGTAGTGGAATGGATTAAATCACCGGCTTTGGCTCCTGTTTTCTACTCGTCTTTGGTTAATCAGATTTTGACACTTTCAAATGGCAAGGTTCATTCAGTGAGGTGGATTCCAAGAGCGAGCAATGGGGAGGCTGATAGCTTAGCTAAGAAAGGGATAGGTTGACTGTAAGGCCCTGTCACTGGATTTTCTGGTCCAGCGAGACGGTCTATTAGAAAATTGTTGTTAAGTTTTATGGGATGTATTGTGGTGTAGTGTTTAAATATTATGTAAGATTGTATTATCAATAAAGTTTTTAAGGCACTCTTTTCCTCCTTCCGCTGATTAAGGAGCTTACCCCTAAGCTCCTTTAATCAAGAAGGGGGTTTTTAACGAGGCCTTCCATTCCTATCAAAAAAAAAAAATATGCTGCTGGTACTTAATGATCTGCTTGCTTCATTCACATCAGGTCTATGGGGCTTTACGCATGACTGTGAAAATATTCTTGATGTGGAATTCTAAATTGCTAATAGATGGTGGTGAAGATGCAACTGTTGCAACTTCATGGCTTGAGGCTAGTAATATAGTTGTTCTCAAGGTATTTAACCCTTCCTTTTCTCTTTCTGTTGCATGATTCCTAGGATATAAACTTTCTTGACCAATCCTCCCCACCTCTTCCTTTTCATACCAGGAATCGTCAGTCATACATTCAAACGCAAATCTGGGAGTACATGGACAAGGTTTATTGAATTTATCAGGACCAGGAGATACAATTCAAGCACAACAATTGGTCCTATCACTGTTTTACGGTATTAACATAAGTAATTTTATTGTGATCATTAATTGGTTACACTTTTAATGGTTTAGTACAGTTTTAGGTGACGACAATGATGCTTTTCTAGTTCTCAAGTTGTAACTCATTTAAGTTTCATGTGATTTTTAATGTTATGCATGGTTTGGGTTTATAGTTCAGTAAAAAGTTTAGTTATGGAAGCCATTTTTGGATGGAAGTCTTACTGTAGGTTTGACTGCTGTACTGTTCTTTTCGTTGGAGGACAAGACAATATTTATGTAAAGACTTTTTTCACCCCCCTAATGGTTTAATCACCAAAACAGTTATACAGAAAGATGGGGCTCATTTATGTTGTTTCTTGTATGGTATAAATAGTTATAAATTTCACTGCCAGTTTTGATGAATCCTTGCTGCAAGGTCTATTACTATATGCTTGGAGAATTTGCGTTGATTATCTTAGATGATTAATGAATTAATTATATCTGTTTTGCATGAAGGTTGGACCTCGGTCTGTTTTACGTGGTCCCCTAGAGAATGCCTCATCTGATGCGGTGTAAGTTGTGGTTTTGGTTGTACTACCCTTGTGCTTAAAGTTTGCACTGTCTTATAATATGACTCACTGTTCTTTTTGCTTTTGGCAGTACACCAAAGCTTTATTGTGATCTCCAAGACTGCCCTGTTGAACTACTTCATCCACCTGGATATTGCAATGAGAATTCATCTGTGTCTTTTACTCTCCAGGTGTTTATTCAATATAATGGTGCAGTAATGAACTGAGGAATATGCTTTCTTCTGCTTATTTAACTGTTTCCTTAATTTATTTTTTTAGATATGCCGAGTTGAGGACATCACTATTGAAGGTCTTGTTAAGGGATCTGTTGTTCATTTCCATCGGGCAATAACAGTATCTGTATGGTCTTCTGGAATAATAAGTGCATCTGGGATGGGTATGTTTCTCCATTGTTATTTAGGTTCTATTTTCTTCAATTTCTCTCTATCATGTGTGTGTATGCACCCTAACATGTCTGTATGGCTTTATAAACCTTTTTAGTTTTTGTTATTTGTGTTGATGAGAAGATGCACGGCGTAGCTTGGGAATTTATTAAAAGTCACATCTAGATGGTCTTCTCTTTGTTCTTGTACAGGATGCATAGGTGGTGTCGGTAGAGGTAACTTTTTATACAATGGTGTTGGCAGTGGTGGTGGCCATGGTGGTAAAGGGGGGCTTGGATGTTATAGTGATAGTTGTGCTGAGGGAGGTATTTCATATGGGAATTCAGAGTTGCCCTGTGAACTTGGCAGTGGAAGTGGAAACGAGCGCTTAGCTTATTCTACTGCAGGTGGTGGTGTTATAGGTGAGTCCTTTGTGTCACCTTTTTTCTCTGGCATATGTTTTTGGCTCTTGCATTTTAATTTCTGAAGATTGTGACGGTAAATCTTAGCAGTGCTAGTTTGAAAAGTCATTTTTTTTTTACTTTGTCTATTTCTCTGAATTCTTAATGACCATCCTGGGAAGCTTGAACTTTACTGTGACTTATTTTTTTCTTCTCAGGATTGCAATTTGGTGATTATTTTAGGTTATGATTTACAGGAGGAAGTTTTTAGAAGGGCTTAACTCTTTGCACATGTGAACAAAATCAAGCATAGGACCATGATTGAGTTGCTGTCTTGTCTTTAGACACTTATATTATGCTTTGTAGGAAGGATGCAGGGCGAAGGAAAAAGTTGCAGTCTAATGGTTGAGCCACAAAATAACACGGTGGAATCTCAACCATTAGATTTAAATACTTCCCATCCTCTCTACCAAACAGATTAGTGAATAGCTACTGCTTTTTTTAAAATAACCCTTATTTTCATGAGATTATGTTTGGACAGTGTTTGGTTCCATGGAGCATCCCTTGTCAAGTTTGTCTGTGGAGGGTGCAGTGAGGGCTGATGGAGAAAGTTCTGAAGGAACTGTCTGGAAGCAAGAGTATTCTGTTTCTAATGATTCAATCATAGCCCCTGGTGGTGACTCTGGTGGTACTGTACTTCTGTTTCTGCACACATTGACTCTTGGCGGATCTGCTATTCTTTCAAGTGCTGGAGGATATGGTAGTCCAAAAGGGGGTGCCGGTGGAGGTGGTGGAAGGATTCATTTTCATTGGTCAGAAATTCCCTCCAGTGATGTCTACCAGCCAATTGCTAGTGTGAAGGGAGGCATCTATGCTAGGTTTGTTTCCAAAGTGATTTATTTATCTGGATGCTAGCTTACATATGGTCTACACATTCGATAACTTTTCTAGGTTCATATGTTGAGCAATCAATACTCTAGGTGGTATATGTCCACAAAATAATATTGTATAATAACTGCTAACAAGCTTTTCAAACTAAATTTTGTCTCATTCTTTAACTACTACATAGCTTCTTCTTTTTTAATTGTGGACATTGGTGAATATAGATTTAATTGAACAAATAAAATAATGTAAAAATTAATCAGAGTCTCATTTTCTCAACCATGAAGTTTCAGCTACCAAATTACGTGTGGAAGTTTTTTGCATATGATAGAAATGCAATGGTGTAACTGTTATATAATTTGTGAACATGTACAATTTCATCAAATAATTGGTATTTTTAGGTATGGGCTTAAATTTTTTTGTGCTATAATGCTTGGATCTTATATTGGTGCTAATTTTTGAACTTACCTTGGCACTTGCATTAGTGAGTATTTGATCATTATATTATGTCAGTGCTTTGAAGCACCTTGCTGGAACTAATCTATATATTGATCAAACTGTTTTAGTATAAAATGTATACAACAGGTAAGCTGTTAGTTTCAGCATGATCACTGCTTACTTAAAGGTCTTCTTAGTTTTCTGTTCTCCTGAACTAGAAATTTTGTTGCTGCCTTCCAGTTTATACCCATTGTTTAATCCTTGTCAAAGATGCTTCTGTACGAGTTTATCATCTTGGTATCATGGTAAGGTTTTGATTATTTTTACAGGGGGGGACTAGGTAGACACGAGAGTGGTGATGGAGAGAATGGAACGGTGACCGGTAAACCTTGTCCAAAGGGGCTTTATGGAACATTTTGTGTTGTAAGTTAGCAATTATGTTGCATTTGAAAATTTTCAGATTCTTTTCATTTAACATGGGTGCATATGGTAGTTGGGGCTAAACTTTATATTTGAAGCTCTTGGAACATTAAAATGTTTCAATCACCAAATTAGTATGAATTTTATATTGGACTGTTTACACTTTTTGGAAGAATTGTATCCAGTTCACTTATTTTCTGAAATATGAGCACTTTAATATAAGCAGTATTTTTGGATGGAGTTTATTTTGTCTGATAATATGTTAATTATTGATTGGTGATAGTCTTATCTTCCATCTCTTTCTACTAGTATGTAAAATATTATTTCTTCATTTTGAATAATACAAATTGTGTTTAATATTTTCAGTTGTTGAGCTTGTTAACTATTTCCTTTGTCTAGGAATGCCCTGCTGGTACTTACAAGAATGTCAGTGGATCGGATAGTTCTCTCTGTCACCGTTGCCCTGCTTCTGAGCTTCCTCGCCATTCCATTTATATTGCTGTACGAGGTACATTTGAAAGTTGTCTTTATGGAGTGAATTTTATCTTATATGATATTCAAGTGGCATACTGCTCTTATACTGCAGTTATTTATTTTTTTCTCTTCAGAATTCAAGTGCTATTTGAAAGAAATTAATTTTACCTTTTTCTTCATCATAGAAAATTAATATTCAGTACCTACTCCTTCACAGGTGGCAATGTTGAAACACCTTGTCCTTATGAATGCATTTCTGACAGATATGACATGCCACACTGTTTTACAGCTCTTGAAGAGTTGATTTACACATTTGGAGGGCCTTGGTTATTTTCTCTTCTACTTGTGTGTCTTATCATCATCTTAGCGTTGGTGCTTAGTGTTGCACGGATGAAATTTGTTGGGTTTGATGAATTACCTGGCCCGACTCGCCATCAGATAGATCATTCTTTTCCATTCTTGGAGTCATTGAATGAGGTTTTATAATATTTCTATGTTGCTTCTTTTTATTATTTCATAGAATTCCTGCCCATCTATGCTGACATTATTATTATTATTTCATGCAATCCCTTGTTCTTTTGCAAATTAACCCCCCCCCCCCCCCGGAGTTGTTACAATTGTGCCTTTCCTTTCCTTTCAGGTAATTGAAACAAACAAGTTGAGGTGTCCCAGAGTCACGTGCACAGAATGTATTTCATGGGTCCTAATAGTTTCAGTGAACCTTGGCATCTGCCCCACACTCCTCCAGAAGAAATAAGAGAGATTGTGTGAGTATATTGCTATATTTTCTGTTGTATTGTTTTTCTTATTTCAATTTGTAATATCCCATTGTGCTGGTACTGGATTTTATTAATATTTAATCATGATTCTTGACGTTGATCTAATGTCCTTGACCTGGCAGATATGAGGGTGCATACAACATATCTGTGGATGAGATTAATGCAATAGCTGCCTATCATTGGTGGGAAGGTGCGATCTACACCATTCTTTCTATTCTTGCTTATCCCCTTGCTTGGTCATGGCAGCAATGGCGTCGGAGAATGAAATTGCAACAATTACGTCAGTTTGTGCGATCAGAATATGACCATGCTTGCTTACGTTCTTGCCGTTCACGGGCTCTCTACGAGGGGCTTAAGGTATCTATTTACTTGGTCTAATTCATTTGCTATATATGGCTTCATTTTATTTGGTTTACATCTCATAGTTGTTTCGGTTCCATTTTTTTTTTCTGCTTTTCTCATCATCATCGTTTTGTAAATGACCTATTCTGTCATTTTTGAGGCTGAGATGGATTCCTTCTATGTTTTGACCGTTTGATTGTTAAACATTTTTATGCTCTCGTTCTGACTCATCTCACTTAGAGACTGAGTAGATATGCTTCCTATTTATTATTGCGTACCACCCTGATTTTCTCATAGTTTGGTATTCTTTTTTTTTCCTGTTCAATTTACTTTATAAACATGTTCAAGTAGGCTTTATTTCCAATAGATGAGAATTAAATTAATGCATTGTAAGATGTATGCTACATTGCTACTTGGATATGAAATGGTTACCCCAAGTGCAAAGTTTATCATCAATTGGGCTACTGCCATATCTTACAGTTTAAACTCTTTGGAATTTATGTATTACTTCTATAGTTACTCTTTTAACAGTTTTTTAATCTTTATACAAGTGTCGTCAAAACACAAATTTTAGTGTAGCTTCAAACTTGAAATTCGTTATTTGATCACTGTAGGTATCTGCATCCTCTGATTTAATGTTGGCTTTTGTGGACTTCTTCCTTGGTGGGGATGAAAAGAGAACATACCTTCCTCCTCGATTCCCTCAAAGGTTTTCTATGGCTATAATTTTTGGAGGTGATGGAAGTTACATGGCTCCATTTTCCCTTCAAAATGATAACATTCTTGCCAGTCTTATGAGTAAGGTTAGTTCTTAGATTTTAACTATGTAATTGATCAAGGGTTGGCTTCACTGCAAATTTTAGTTATAATGAAGTTATGCTAATTATTTCTTACAGTTGGTGCCCCCTACCAATTGGTACCGACTGGTGGCTGGTTTGAATGTGCAATTACGCTTGGTTCGCCGTGGACGGCTGAGGATAACATTTCGACCTGTCCTGCGATGGCTTGGAACACATGCTAATCCTGCATTGAGAAATCATGGTGTATGTATTGAGCTTGCCTTGTTTCATGGTTCATCTGGTGGTCACTGCCAGTATGGACTTTTGGTGTATTCTGTTGAAGAGGAAAATGGACCTATATCTGTGGAAAATACTGCTGGAGTAGGCAGAACTGAGCTTTCTTCAAGGTAAAATGTCTGTGTTTTGTGCACCATCATTTATCTGATCTTGGACATTTTAGTTTCATGTTGTTGGTGCAAAAGCAATGTTGGCTTATTTTGAGCATTGTTGGGTGAATAACTGGAAATATATCCCTGTAACATCCCAAAATACGGGTTCGTGACCAAAATTGTAAAATTTCAGAATATGGTGATTAAAGTATAATAGTTTAATAGTTTAATGATTTGTTCGGAAATATTTCCTAAAAGTTTATAGTAATTATCCAAAGAATTAAAGGGCAAAATAGTCATTAGACTTGAAAATTATAATTAAATGATATATATATATGGATAAGGATGGGAGATTTTCCAGAAAAATCTCTTCTCTCTTTTCTTCTTCATTTTCTCTTCTCCACGTGTGAAGCCAAGCAAAGGTGAGTTTTCTCTTGAGCTGATTATGTGCTGAAATTTAAGTTTAGTTTTGATTATTAGATGCTAAGTAAGATTAAGGAAGGATTAATTTGCTTTAAAACAACAAAATGAAGAGTTTATGAGGATTTAAAAATTTGGAGTTTTTGAATGAAATATCGAAATAAAGTTTATATTGAGAATTGAAAGTTGAATTTGACTTGTCATGAAGTTAATTAAGGGATAGGAAGTGTTAGAATAGGAATTTGAACATGTTGCAAAACTAGTATAATTTTTGCAATTACATATGAATGACTAGATTTGAAGTTAAAGAAGTGATTATGGAATAGAAATAAGTTTAAGTATGTGTATTAAAGTTAGGAGTATTAAAGGAAGTGAAATAGGAAGGTTTGAGTTGAAAATTGATGATTTTCGAGCTTAGAATACAATTTCTGGGTAGAGGGAACCGATACCCTATGAATGGGAATCGATTCCCCCTCTTGAACGAAAAATTCCAGTATGTTCAGGGGGTATCGATTCCCCTGGGGGGGTATCGATTCCCCCCTAAATGAAAATATAGAATTTGATTCATTAAACCGGTTTAAGTTATTAACATCAAGTTTAAAGTTTAGGCTTCTGATAGTTGTTTTGAAATGATATATTTATGTAGATATTGAACCTAAACAAGTTCCGGAATAATCAAAGGATTATAATCGAGTCAAAGCAAGGCTAAGGTGAGTGCAATTTAAATTGTACTTATGTGATTGATTAAACATTGGCTTGCGATGAGTCAATGATAGAGTTACTATGGTAAGAAGTAACTTATATAATGTTATGTGATTACTCTGTGTGCATTAGTACATAGAAATGGATGTATGTTTATATGTTACATGATTTACATGCTTACATGAAAATGCAACATATGATATTAGATATGTGCTTACACATACATTTGATATGTGATAGAAGAGAAGGAACATGTGATTATGAGATCAAGGATTACACGTACATGTGATACGTGACTGAAAAGAAAAGATATGTGTTTATAAGAGAAAGAATATGAATAAGTAATGTGAACGGTCATAAATGATAATGCCCATGTTATGTGATATGAGAGCTAGGGGTATAGTTGGCATGCCAAGGGTCGAGGGTTACCTATGTTCTTCGGGACATATGGACTGTTTACCTATGTTCTTCGGGACATATGGACTGTTTACCTATGTTCTTCGGGACATATGGACTGTTTACCTATGTTCTTCGGGACATATGGACTGTTTACCTATGTTCTTCAGGACATATGGACTGTTTACCTAGGTTCTTCGGAATCTATGGACTGGTCCTTCGGGATATTGATCGAGTTGTGGTGACAGCATATGTGCGCACAACCTCAATGTACTCACATACCTTAAGTTCTCACTAGTGTACATGGGCTAATAAAGTGATTAAACAAGCATACTGAATGTGATATGTATATGATGGGTTTATAAGTGGTTTGAAATGTGTTACATGAACTGTATGATGTTATGTGTGTTTTTTAATGATAATGATGGTATATGTTTATGTATGATTTATGTTATATGAAATATTATATGTTTTATATGCCTCACTAAGTCAACGACTTAGCGTGTGATTGTTTTACACGTAGGTTTCGAGAAGAGTAAAGAGTAATGCGAAGCAAGACAGGTCAGTTCTCCTTACCAAATGTCAGATCAGAAAATATATGTATTGTATATAGAGTGTAGTTGGCATGTAGTCTAAAGATAAAAATTGTATGAACTCTGATATATTTTGTAAATGTTTTGAATAAGTTAAATGTTATCAAAGTTTTTAAATTACTCACTATTTTATACGAATAAATGTTTGAAAAGTCAATGTGACACTTCGGACTCGTATCCGGGTCGGATACGGGTTGGGGTTGTTACATTTAATGGTATCAGAGCTAAGGTTTAGCCAATTCTCGGCATAAACCGAAGTCCAAAGTGTAATAAAATGTGTACATGCCAACATAGAGTGAAAAATTTCTGATCTGATAGGGTAAGGAGTGTGTTGTCTTGTTAATAGAGTTAAATTGTTATGTGATATAAGATAAGTGAATACTGAGAATGAGTTATGATATATATATATATATATATATATATATGTTTATATAATATGATAGATGATATGTGAACATATACAAATGACATACGTTATATGATATGAATTGGATGATCATATGCACACGTGATATGTAATAGAAGTAAGGATATGAGCACATGAATATATGAGAGCTTCCAAAGTGAAGCACAAGGCGATAGACCTGAGGGTAATAGCATTCACCTGCCCTGGCCAGGTAGGGAGAAGAGCGAAAACCTCAGGGAATGTCTGTATAAGATTAGAGGATGATTCATGATGTGGAATGATATTCCGATGTGTTTTTAATTGTATACTTCGTTAACTCATAGAATGAATGTATCGAAATAGTTAAAAGAGTTATGAGCACCCGATCTCAAGGGTGAATTTGAGGAAGGCTCTGTTGTTACAGACCTTTGGGTATATGATATGAAGATAATGCTAGAAGATGTTCATTTCTCCATAGTGGAGAAATTAAATTGAGAAGTTTGTTATTATGTGGATAAGATGGATAAGACGGAATATGGTGAACGAGTGTCACCATAAGGATGTTAAAAGATCAAGTGACGCGGTTATTGTTTGTAAAAGAGTTTGTATTCTAGATGGAAATAGTTAGTATTGGTTAACAAGAGTATGTGATGAAAATGTAATGGAATTATAATATATTGACAGGTTATGATAACCAAATATGAAGAGGATTTGGATACAGTTGTATAGTTTGATCATTGTAAGGTGTTGTGGTGAAGAAGATAAAGATTTGTATGTTTAAAGGAAATACAAGTATAATAGATGATAAGAATGAGGTTCTGTACAAGTAAGGTTGATTATCAAAGTTATGAAAAGATATAGTTTAGTTATATTATAAGAAGATTTTGATAATGAAAGGATTAAAAATGATAAATGATTATAAGAAAGTGCAGATTATAAGTTTGATTAGAAGTAAGAAAAGTATGTAAGGTTATATGAAGAGATTATGTGTATCGTAATACAGACAAGGATGAAAGATTGAGCAAAAGTTTGGATTGTGGTGAATTAATTAGGAAATGAGGAAAGAAATCAATTGATTGATTTTTGATTTTGAGTGATAAGAATTGATGTTACTGTCTACAGGATAAGTAACATTATATGAATGAAATCAGAGTTATGAATTTGAAACAAAGAGATAGTATTGTGTATAAGAAAGTGTGTGGAGATGATAAGGATTTGTACTTTAGAATGAAAGAGTTAGCGTTGACTACCAAGATTTTGTGATGAAATTGTATTGGATATAGTTGTATATTTGGATTACGTAAATGTGATATAGTGAATGAAGTGAGGATTCGTATGGAAGTGTAAATGATAAGTTCGATATAGAAACCCGAAAAGTGTGCAAGGTGATGTGAAAATATTGTTTGACTCCTTAAAGTATATGTTTAATCACAATTGAAGAAGATTTAAAGTTGAGTTTTGGTCAAATGATGACGAAATACAAGTTTGGTATGGTTATAAGGTAATTAGAGAGTTATGAAGAAATAGATGGATTTCTGATATAGAGTGATGAGATGGATGTTACTGTCAACGTGATGAGTGACATTATATGGAATTTTAGAAAGGTCAAAGGAAAAATGCATAATCGAATGAGAGAAAAGACAACAATGGATTGGTATTACTGGTTATTGTTTATATGATAAGCAACAGAAGATGAATGTATAAACGAAAAAGATAGTTGGAAAAGTAAAGGATTGAAAAGTAAGTTTCTGATGATGACAAGAAAGAATAAGTCAGGGAAGCAACATAAGAACATTAGAATATATGTTCTTATTAAGATGTTCAGTGAAAATTCGAGGGCGAATTTTCTTAAAAGGAGGGGAGATTTGTAACATCCCAAAATACGGGTTAGTGACCAAAATTGTAAAATTTCAGAATATGGTGATTAAAGTATAATAGTTTAATAGTTTAATGATTTGTTCGGAAATATTTCCTAAAAGTTTATAGTAATTATCCAAAGAATTAAAGGGCAAAATAGTCATTAGACTTGAAAATTATAATTAAATGATATATATATATGGATAAGGATGGGAGATTTTCCAGAAAAATCTCTTCTCTCTTTTCTTCTTCATTTTCTCTTCTCCACGTGTGAAGCCAAGCAAAGGTGAGTTTTCTCTTGAGCTGATTATGTGCTGAAATTTAAGTTTAGTTTTGATTATTAGATGCTAAGTAAGATTAAGGAAGGATTAATTTGCTTTAAAACAACAAAATGAAGAGTTTATGAGGATTTAAAAATTTGGAGTTTTTGAATGAAATATCGAAATAAAGTTTATATTGAGAATTGAAAGTTGAATTTGACTTGTCATGAAGTTAATTAAGGGATAGGAAGTGTTAGAATAGGAATTTGAACATGTTGCAAAACTAGTATAATTTTTGCAATTACATATGAATGACTAGATTTGAAGTTAAAGAAGTGATTATGGAATAGAAATAAGTTTAAGTATGTGTATTAAAGTTAGGAGTATTAAAGGAAGTGAAATAGG